ACTGCGACCGGCCTCTGCCCAACCCCTCGCTCTAGTCAGCGCCCGGCACATCAAGTTGAGCAAAAGTGAACGACGTCGTTTCCTCAAAGAGCAACTATTACATCAGCGATCCTAATGCGATCGGGCATTTTCAAATTCAGTTCCCAAATCTACCCTTGCCCCGAGACCGCGACATAATGGGCGCCCTCGAGAAGGCGTGCAGCACGTAAATAGCCCCCTACTGACGCCTCGGAACAAGGACTATGTAGCAGCCACCTTTCCGGAAGAAGGCGGCAGCAGGAAACCGAGCAGGAAACAATGAATCAAGAATGGTAAGGTGCGATTTGCATGAAAGTCATAATCAATAACCATGGCGTACAGACATACTGGGCTCGAACAGGCACAGACGCATCGGGAAGACCGTCAACCCCTTTCCTGGTAAGTGATTATTTACATTAAAAACAAGAAAGGAAAAATCCCAGCTCCAGACAGAGCTTCGGCTCTTCGATCGCGTCGGCCTCACAACCTCGACGGCCTCCAGCCGAGTCAAGGAGGTAGCAGCCCCGCGCCTCCTTGCCGCCGACGCGTGATCTACATTCGCTTCAGTCGCAGGTGAGAGCGCCGCGAGGAGCGGCTGCCGCAGGAACAGTTGGCGCCGCAGGAGCTCTCGTCATTACCGCGCCGCGTCCCAGTGACCCGAACGCGCGTACGTCCTGCACCGTTGGCAGTCGTAGAGCCGGCGAGATCCTCTCCTCAAATGCTCGACGCTCTGCTGGCAAAGCCGGGAGGAAGAGATTCTGGCGGAGGCAGGATCCTCCAAGCGCCGCGGCCATTTCGCAGGCACAGGAGGGCGCCGTAAATACGAACTTTTGAGGAGACGCCAAATAAGGGCGCGCATTACGGCCGCGATGCCACCCGCCGCCCGCGGCCCTTCCCTTCGGCGAGTCAAACGGAGCGCGAACGAGGGCCTGCGAAGGGCATCGTTGGTGGTGGTGGTGTTTGTGATGGTGATTATTTTGATGATGATGATTGTGATGATGGTGATGGCAGTGATAGTGATAGTGATAGTGATGATGATGATGGTGGTGGTGGTGGCGATGATGGTGATGATGATGATGATGGTGGTGGTGTTTGTGATGGTGATTATTTTGATGATGATTGTGATGATGGTGATGGTGGTGATAGTGGTGGTGATGATGATGATGATGATGATGATGATGATGATGATGATGATGATGATGATGATGATGATGATGATGATGATGGTGGTGGTGGCGATGATGATAGTGATGATGGTGGTGATGGTGGTGGTGATGGTGATGATGGTGATGATGATGGTAATGATGGTGGTGGTGGTGGTGGTGGTGGTGGTGGTGGTGGTGGTGGTGGTGGTGGTGGTGGTGGTGGTGGTGGATGATGATGATGGTGATGATGGTGGTGGTGATGATGATGATGATGATGGTGATGATGATGATGATGATGATGATGATGATGATGATGATGATGATGATGATGATGATGATGATGATGATGATGATGATGATGGTGGTGATGAAGGCGGCAACAAAAACCCCGAAGCAAGCACCAACAGCAAGGGCGTCCGAGCGGCCGAAGCAGCGGGGCAAGAACCCAGACCCCGAGAGCGACACTTAAATGCTGCTGCTAACGAGGCAACAGACGTCGCCTCATAATCCCCCCCGAGTTCTTCCTTGCCACGCCGTGAGCCTCGTTAACCCCGCCATAACCATGATCCCGCATGGCACCATTCTCCCTCGCCCTCTTGCGTCACATCCGAGACCACCATCGCCACTCGGGATCACCTTCGCGCCGCACACGACATGAGCAACATGATCAATCTCCTGAGGCTCCGGAGCGACCGGCGCTTTTTCTTGCAAATCACATCGCACAGATCTGTCACAGAGCGAGCACCACGCTGAGAAATCCCCGCGAAGACAAATGGACGCACTTAAGTTTTCCTTGTAAGAACACGGCCCTTTTATGGCAGGTTTTCAGTTTCTCCGCACTCGAGGCTCGCGTCCGCGGCAGCGCCGACCATACACAGCATTTTCTTCACTGAATATTGGAGGTCTTCTGGTCGGAGAGCTCCGACTGCTGACTGTCCGTGCCGAGTGTGATGACAGGCGCTGACAACCGCGAACCGCAAGACTTGGGCACATGAAATATTCCGGGGGCAGTGCTTTCCGAGGCGGCGCGGTTTTCACTTCCACGCGATGATGATCAACAATTCAATTCGTGCAATTCGACACATGTAAGAGGAATGGCAATTGAAACGAGTCAAAGTAATAATAATAAAAAACAAGGAACTTTCTCCGCACTTGGGACCATATCTGGTATAAGCAAAACTCCTTGGATTTCAAATGCCTTCTACCGAGCACAGAACTGTTCACAGCGAATATTGCACGAAAGCTTAGATGAAAGTGTGGGTCAACTCTCCGTGACCCACAAACACAATCTACAACTAAGCGCACGCACACACGTACACACACGCGCACACACACAC